TTCCTCCTCTTCCTCCTCCTCTTCCTCTTCCTCTTCCTCTTCTTCCTCTTCCTCTTCCTCTTCCTCCTCCTCTTCCTCTTCCTCTTCCTCTTCTTCCTCTTCCTCTTCCTCCTCTTCCTCTTCCTCCTCTTCCTCTTCCTTCTTTTGCTTTGGCTGTGTAGTCTTCATCTTCCGAGACCAGCCATTGTTTCTAATCTTTCTGAATTTCAATATTCTCTTAAAAATTTTCCCAGTGTTACCATGTTTTCTCTTAAAATTTTTCCCAGTGTGTAGATTTAATCAGTAGTAGACCCATTTTTCCTTAATCTGCTCTGATAATCCTTGAAGCATTCCTTCACATATGGTTCCGGCTGCCATGATAATACAGTTGTAAATAATTTATATTGTATTAAGAAGCGATATTCCATGATAATTCGTTCTGTTTAGTTCACCACTACTCTTGTAAACAGGGCAAATTATTGAAGTGCACCATTTCTTTTGTATTGTTTCTGCCTCCCAAATTTTTTGTATAGATAATAAATGTTTTTCCACAGCTTTACTTTGTTTATTAATTATATTTTCCGATTATTTTTTGTTGTATTCTTTTCTTTTATAAATGAGCTCTTGAAAAAAAACTGTTGCTCTGGCAAAAACAAAAATGATTGGTTACAGGCCCGCGCACTGGTTTAATTCCTCAGCGGAATAATAATGTACATACTTGTATTATATTATTTGTATTTCACAGTCTGTTAATAAATAAATAAATAAAGCTCTCTGCCTCCAAATTTAATCAATTCTGCTGTGATCGTATCTTCTCTCGGTGCTCGGTTTCCCTTCATATTTCTTATTGCTTTCATTATTTCTAGAAATGGACAATGGTGGTTGTAATAGCTCAGGTCCATAGTAAACCACTTTCTCTTCAGGAGTGTGTTTTTCCTGTTATGGGTTCAACAGTTTTTCGAAATAGTTTTTCCATGTATTTAACACATTCTCTCTGCCTACTAGGTCTCCATCGTTATTTCAACAGAAACTAGTTTGTGGGGAAAACACTTTCTATTTTTTGTTCCTTCATAAAACTTTCGGTTATCATTGTTTCTAAATTAACCTGCAATTACTTGAGATTTTGTTCTTCATATAATTTTTTATTCTTACAATTTTTTTTTGCCTGTTTTGTTGCTTTATAATTGTACAAATTATAAGGTGTCGGTATTTGTAGCATTTTTTGCTGAGATTTATTCCTGTTATCTAAAGCCATTTCAGTATTTATCTTGATCCTAATTGTATCATATATAAGATACACGATTCCTATAAGATTGAGTAATTCTCATTATTGCACTATTTGATTTCATTGCTCAGTTAGAGCATCTGTTTTCATAGCAGCAGATCCCAGACTTGGATCCCTGTGGTATCAAATGTTAGCTGTTTGTGACAATCCCTTTCCAGTATCAAAATTTACAGAATGATTTTAGATCTATATACATAAAATGATTCATATTAAGTGTGGATATGATGATCGCCTTATGGCATGCCCCTGGAGTATTGACAAGCACCAAGATTAATGTAAGAACTTTGTCAGTAATATTTTTTTTTTTTTTTTTTGTTTGTTTTTTCAACAGCTAGAGATTGAACTGGGAGTTGAAGTTGTAATGATAAACATCGATGAATGTCTCATTGAGAAAGCATTTTGTAGTGAATTATCATGCACAAATATCTTGAATAAAAGTGAAGTACCTTATCCTGTATATACCAACACCTCATCTTTTGTTGGTGTTAAAGCATTCGTTGATCCTGTGTGCGAGTGTCAAATCAACCCACCAAAAACAAAATGCTTAAATGGAGGTACACCACTGGAAGATAGGTTAGTATGGAAATTTCAGTTTTAAATGCAATAAATTCATGACTGCAATGTTAAATACAATACAATTCTATGTATTGTATTTTATATATGTATTTAGTAAATTAAATCCTAATGTATTTTGAGTATGTGTTTAAATTCTTATTTACAAAGTATTTGGCAAAATATTTCAGTACCAAATTTTAAGTATTTTGCCCAACCCTGGTCCTCAATATGGAAGAGAATGTGTGGTGATGTGATCGGTTTTTCAAAATTAGTATACTTAAAACCTACTGATCCTTTCTTTTTATAGGTGTGAATGTAACCCAGGATTTGAGGGACCAAATTGCGAAATCTTGTCTGTAGGATTTCACGGGGATGGATGGGCCTTATACCCTCCCATTCCAGCATGTAAAGAAGCATCTTTATCCTTGGATGTTACTCCAACGAAAGACGATGGATTGATCTTGTATGTTGGGCCTATTAGACGCAATACAGTGCTAAATGTTCAAGGTAGTATTATGAATAATTTTTTTGAGATAAAGATAACTTTTATGTTTTTATGTTAGTGGATGAAATATCACATTAATGCCAGAAGTAATTTTGCTGCACGTTGCATGGACTCATTGTTGTCTCACTAGTGACTACAGGGACATTGTTAATACTATGTGGAAACATCAGTTTGCAACTTTTAGTGCAAAGTGCCAAAATCTCTGTTCATGTGCTTGTTATAAGTAGTGAAACTTTCTCTTAGTTTTATATGCCTCACTAACAATTAAAATTTCCCAGTAATAAAATAAAAATGAAGTCCCCAAAAAGTTGCTACGTAAATCAATTTACAATTTTCGACTCGTTAATTATAAGTTCCTCCTAATATATCCAAATTTGTTGGTTTTGAGTCGCAGTTTGCTCAGTTAATAAATACAGTAAGGAATTAGTAGTCTTAACTATCTGTGTTTTGCTTTAAATACCGTGAAGTCATTTAGTAGCACAAGAATGCCAGTACGCGATTAAAATGAGCAACTGTAAGAAAAGTGGAGTATTGCACGTGATCTGAGACAAAGGACTGCCTCTCAGCCGAGTGCTTCTTTCTCTAGCAATAATTATAAACTCAGTGAGTGTGCTGAAAATTTCAATAAATTATTACTAAAAACATAGTAGACAAATTCTTATGACCTGGCATTTCATTGGAATCAAGGTAATGGAGTGAGAAAAACTAGTAGTGTTGCAACAGCACACACTTTCTTGCACTGCATGTCTAACTTTTGCAACTTTCGAAAATTAAAAAAAGTTAAATAAAATGAAATTGCCCCATTTGTAAGAGTCCTTTACTTTATTAGACAGAAAAAACAAAAGTTTGGAACTTGATATTAAAAAAAGATAAATTGCATCAACTTAAAGCAGAAATTACAGAAAAACTACAAGCTATTTAAAAAAAGTTTATGACCTTATTTAAAGATCATTTTTTAAAGGACAGATTTAATGAAAGAAAATACTATTTTGACTATTGTACTTATGGATTATTATTATTTTTTTGTTGCAATTTTTCAAAATGGAGAATAGACAAATTGGGACCAGTGCCAATAATTAACGGTTCTTTGCTGCATTCAAGGAAAAACTTGAAGACACAGATAGAGCCGTATTTTGAGAAAATAATTGTTTAATTTCACTTCGATTATGAAGACAAAAAATTGTAATCTATTGCAATTTGTGAAACAATTAAGATATTTCTACGAAAAATGAGATCTGCACCATTTTCAGCGTCCTTCTCGACGAGGATGAAGTTTAATCAGAATATCCATTTCAGTGACATATGGCCTCAATTTCGTTTGGGTTGATGTGGGAATATCAATTTTGGAAAAATAGCTTGCACTGTTTAGGCGACAACCTTGACCTATTTTGCTGACAATCAATTTTTACAGAATTATCTGGAAGAAGTAGTTTATGCTAATTAATATTGTCAACCTCCTTTTAAAATAATTGGACACGTTCATTTTCAGTTTTACTTACATTTTACCTGGCATTAAAAAATGTTGGTCTTGCACTGTTACAGTGCATATTGCTCTTAAAAAAAAAAAAAAAAAAAAATTGACTCTGGCAACAATGACCTTACCTGTTGAAGAGCCCTTAAACCTTGAAAATAATCATCGATGAACGTTGAATTGTTGGTAAAACAATATCTACTACTGCCTTCTGATATTTTAGGAGATTTAGATGGTGAAGAATGTGGCGTGGTCCTTCCACCTGTTTCGTCGCCCAAGAAATAACTTTCTTCACTAGTTGGTGAAACAAGCGTAGCGAAATTTGCGTGGTCAGGCGGAAGAGCAGGCCTCATGGCCTGAATCTCACCATGTAAAATAAGGCAACAATTCATTTCAATTCCACCCAAGAGAATTTTGATTTTATTGCAAACCAGCAGGGATGGTAAACTTCAACATTGTATTCCACAAGCAGTTATAATGTCAACTTTTTGCCTTTAAAATCGTGATTTGAAACTCATATATGACAAATCCTATTTTCAGTTAAGCACCGAGAGTAGCTTATACAGGACACTTGTCCTTTTGGAGAGTTAACCTGTAACCATAAGCCTGATCTTTACAGATATTTGTGACGACAGTATCACTGAATGGAACTGAAGGCTCTGGAAAATATCCTGACAAATGAGAGGTTGATTTTTAGTGCTGTTGCAGTATTAAGAATGTCACCAATTTTACTAAGCCCCTTGGTAGACTGTGTTCATCCAACAATGTCATAAAGTGCTGTGAAGGTAGCTCATGTATGAAGAGCACAAACCAACAATATGAGTTGACCATTCAGCTTTGCCTCAACCCAATGCAGGACTCCTTCCCAACCACTGTTAACATTCGTTGAGTCAACAGCAATAGCCAGCAAACGTCCACAATCCACAAGATGTGTACCAATAATTTCATCAGATTTCCTTTTTGTTAGGTCTTTCTCTGGAGTAAAATGGCAAAGATACCTTCCGCTTAGGTCACTACAAATGATGTAATGCTTTTCTTTCACAATACTTGGATACTAATGACTTGACTTATCGGCTTGTAACAGAACTAGTGGAGTGTTTGCGTCCATCAAAAAATGTACTTTCAATATTGCCTAATAGGCATTGAGCATGAAATTTAAGTGATTTCATAACTTTTTCTTGTGCCCTTTTTACTTCGTTGTGATCAACCACAAGTCTCCTGTCTCCGTTAGAAATTAATGCAGCTGTGGTAATGGAAGTTGTGGCACGTGAACCAACACCTTACCTATTACTTTGCAATGAAACATTGCCCAATTGTAATGTATGCAATAAATCTGAGAAGAAATGAAACCTGAAAAACACATATTCCATTGTATCTCTGTAACAGACAGAGGTTTTGGGAATCTACGAGACTTTCTATTCTCTTTCATACAAGTGTCGCGATAAGTTTTGGTTTGGGGTGCACTTTTCACCTCCCTTATTTGGGTATACTCTTTTTCAAAGAAAACTGCAATTATGGACGGCGTTTCACTGTTCTTTATTAATCACAAAATATTTTCGTTCTATTATTAGGAAACCGAAAAATTAGAAAATTTCAAAAAATGTATTTTGGGCGGCGATGGATGACAATTACAAAATAAAAAACATTTATTTACAACAAATTTTGCGCAACAATTTGTAATTAAAGAACACAATACCACAGGTCTTTTGTACCTGTTTATATTCCGTCTGTAATTAAGACCTATCATTCTCATACATACTTCAAGAAACTAACTTTCGTCTGTACTCGGAGACTTTTACCTTCTGTACTCCAATACGTATTCTTTCTGTTTCACATTTTTTCAGATTTTTGGTTTTGGTGTGTATTCGTCTGTAAGAACGTATATTAATTTTCTTTGTACACCCCTGATTTTGGGGATAAAAATGCGGGACTCCCTCCCCCCCCCAAAGCCTCAAATTAGCCTTAAATGTTAGGCTCTCGTAATTTTTCTACAGTTTTTTGATTTTGGTGTCAATTCCAGCATAAGAACAAATATTAACTGTTTCGTCTTGTACAGTCCAGATTTTTGGAATATATGAACGCCAGAATACATATTCTCCTAGAGTGTCAAATTAACGTTAAATTTTGGGTGGGACTTCATATTTTTAAATTGATTTTGATATGGTTTTTCTGGGCGGGCGCCGCTAGCTAGAGCTAGCAGCGCCCACGATTTTGGAAAATCCAAAAGAGCCTAAAATTCGGAAATAGCGCATTTAATTAGCCAAAAATTTTGGATATTGTGTGGTTGAGATCTGTTCTTGGGTGCTGCTAGCTTTAGATGGCTTGTAGAGTGGTCTTTGCGTCGCTACCGTTCTTTAGAAATTATCCTGTTAGCCAGGGGCGGCTCGTGCCGGTCGTAGCATGTTTGCACTCCAAACTAAATCGCCGTTTCTTTTCAGTTAGATACATGAAATATGAACATTTCTGTAGTTCTTTATTACTCGTAAGTCAGATCACAACTTTCTTTGCTTTGCTTACAAATTACATACATGAGAAATGATCTGCATGTGTACCGTGTGCGTTTATTCGGCCTTGTTACCACCTCGACTGCTTCGTTGGAACATGCCAATGGCAGTGAGCGGCGTGGAGGTGGGACTTCCGAGGGCCAGTGTAAACGAATCAGAGATGAGAATTTTTGGTGGTATGGCGAAAAAGCTGTTTGCGACAATGTTCTCAATACGCTTCAGAGATAGCATTAGCCTCGGACTTGCCTCGAGTTTGTAGTCCAGCATCCCTGCAAAGTGTTCCTGAATCTTTCCTTCATAAGAAATAAACTCAGTGATGAGATTGTATCGGATGAAAATCGTAATTTAATTTTCTTCTAAGTATGCAGAAACCCCAAGTTTTGCATTATATGTGTAACTGTAAATAAAGCTATATGCGAACGCGTATAATCGAAACGCTTCGCACGTAATGGACCACCGGACGCACAGAGTTGGTTGGAATGGTATTTGTTCCACGTGGTAGTTGGCAGTACGAGAATAACCTCTGTTTTCTTTCCAGTGTATGGCCAGGGTCAAATTTTAGTGAAATTGAATTCATTAATAAGTGGTTTGGGACTAAATTGAGGCTGAAGTTTTGATGAAAATTCAGTTCATTCATTGCTGACCAACATAAATTAACATTCGTTGCCATCATTTAACGAAAAAAATGAAATCAAACTCTTTAGAAGACCTAAAGTTCTTCTTAACATAACTCGATTCAAACGAAACTTTAATGTGTATGATAAATGAATGGTTGTGCGGTTGCGGAGTAAAAAAAAATCACTTACTTGCTTTTGCGATATTTTGTTCGGAGACGAGGACACATTGACAAAACAAGGAGTGATTGCTATTCAAGATCAAAACAACACCAAAAGCATGCCTCGTCATATCAGAAGTCGGAAACATCGAGTATTTCAGGTATTTTCCGTGGCATTGTTAATTTTAGTGAACCAGTGCGAAGAGAAATAATCTAGAAAAGGTGTCAGAATTAAAAGGCACTTCAAAAACGGTTCAAAATGAAGTCCTAATGTGCTGCATGCTTCTAGTGCGGAGAAATATCAAGAGATGCATTTGGTGCTCGTATAGCAGACGGAACGAGTGATTCAGTGTCAGTCTCTCAACTCGCCATTGCTTATAGGTACTTAGTAATCTGTATCTCCGTACAATGTAGTAAAAAGTTCCCTAAAACCAAATGATATAAGACTAGTTAAACTATCATTCTAACATGAAAATATGATTTTCGGATGGTGTCTTAGACCCCCTCCCACCACCTCTAACCCTTCTAGAGCCATTTTTTAAAAACTTTAATTTCCCCCCCCCACACACACACACACACAGACACACACACTTTGGATTATTTTGTCTGGTTAAAAAATATGAGAAATAAAATGGTTTATAATTCAGAAACAGTTTTTAGTAGTTTCTCGGCGTCATTACTCAATGGCAGAAACAATTGTTTTTGAAAAAAATTACTGTGACTTAGAACAGGCACGAAAACATCTCAAAACTTCATCTCCAAACACCAATTGTGAATTTTTGAAGACTTTTTTTCAGTTGCTGGGCTATAGTTAACAAAATAAAAACTAGCAGTGGCGGGTTGTGCTTCGGTTGCACAATTCTCAGATATAATCGAAAAGGATATCCTAATATCTTTTGAATACACAGTTTCCTTTTAATGACATTCAATTTTCAAGATATTGCAGCAATATGTAAAATCGTTTTGAAACCAAAGAGCGTCTAACTGCCGCTCTCACGTGTTGCCTTGCCAGGTATTGCATCACGTTCTTGGATCATGGGTGCATTACTGGGTTTATTGATTTACTCTGTGACCCTTCTATTTAATACGAGCAACATACGACCTTTTGGTTGGGCAACCAGATGCGCTGTCTAGCGCTGTGCGGCGACGGAGGGAGTTTCGGGGGAATACCAAAATTCTATTAGCGTCTGCCTCGCGGCAACGTAATTTTATGCATTTCGTTTGTTATTGAAAGTACAAAAGTTCAGTCAATTATTGACGGCATTTAATGCATTATTTATGATGTTTTGAGAATTTTTCATTTGATATTAGATTTACTGATTTAAATTGTGATCTTGATTAATTATTTGTGGAAAGTTGGCCGATTTGGGAGGAAGTCCCTTTCTCTGTAGATGCAGTTACACCACGGAGAGCTCTGGTGGAATATGAGCCTGTGTGTGGAAGGATCTTTGTTACAAAATACATCAGGATAGTGATATTTTCGAAATAAAATAATTTTATTTGTGTGAAACATGTCGAAGCAATAGTGCTTGTTGCGATGTGCTGGATGTGTGGAGTGTCCGGTGAAAATCAACGCCAGAATCACGTGCGCGTGAGGTGTATAATATACCTGACTCGGTCACGACGCATAACATTATGTAAGTAATGATTTATTATAGGCTTGATTGAACTTGGTTGTAATTATGGTTCAAATGAGTTGCTTACATTTTTATTATATTTTCGTATATTGAATTTTGTAAATTACATTTCCGTCATTCGATAGAAGTGCAACTTCCCGTCTGTTGGTACCAGCCGCCACTGAAAACTTGTTTAACGCTTTTCCGCCTTTAATTCAATTAGGACTTTAAATACTCTTTGAATATAACTGCATCATTTCTGTAATTTATTTTAGTGTTTATTATATAATTGTATACATTGTTGTGGCACCCAATAATTTTAGGAAAGTTTTGTTAGACGATTTACTAACCGTACTGCAATTGAGGTGCTGCAAATCAATGACAATGATTTGCATGGTGTTAGGAGAATTTGTTGAGGACGAAAATATATTTTTGATATTGGTGCCGGGAAATATATAAGCCAACTGTACATTCATTCGGCACGGAACCACTCTTATTGGCTAGCGGGCTCGGAGCACAAAACCGGGCGAAGTTTGATGAGTGGCTTATGTCTGAAATCGAGTTATAATTTTGTTGGTTTCGCTACAATTTACCAAACTCAAAGCACAATTCTAGTTTCATTCGTATATCAGAAAAAACCTCTATTCCAGGGGTTCCAACGTGCAAGGGCTCAAGTGCCACAACTAAAACATTTTAATATGGGGCTATATTTTCATTCCTCGGGTGATCCACAGCATACTTCCCCGTATTGTTGATCTCTGCACCGTGCCCGGCTGCTCTCGAGCGGGGGAAAGGGAATGGAGCCATGCGTGATTTCAGACCATACAAAGCACAACGAAGTGAAATACATTGGGATAATTTTGAATTTCTGAATTTACTAAAAAAACTAAAATCTAAACTTGAACCTATTTTTACGTTAAGTGGGTGGTGACTCCGACAGGGTCCGTGCGCTAGGCGCGCTGTTTGCGTTGATCACAATAATTGGTTCCGCTGGCCGTCAGTTGGACAATCCTGATCCATTCTATTCCAAAGATTTTCTTCGAGATTGATTACAATGGCGCAATTTAAATGGCCAGCTGAAATCGAAACTTGCTCTATGGGTTTCTATTTTGACATTAAATTTAGTTTTTGTTGTAAAGGATCAATGTTAATGATGTTTCATTTACATACAAATATCGGATGCATAGCGTACTGATAAATTTTGATTATATTGATTTTAAGGTACTCTAATATCATTACTAATCGTATTAACCATGGCCTTGATATGTACCCAGTGCAATGAAGTTATTCGGGTTAATAATAAACCTGGCGAAGCAGATTTTATTGAGTGTAGTTTGTATAAGGGCAAGTTTCAGTGCTAGTGCTCGGGTCTTCGTGCTACTGAATTGAAAGTCTTCACACTAATGAAAACCTCAATTACGCTACAGTGTTTGTATTACATGTGAGGCATCAGGGCTAAAGTGTTTTCTTGAAATTCTTTTCGCCTGGTGGAATAGAAACATTGAAATTTTGCGATCCTCAAACGACGTCCTTTTGAAAAAGTTAAAAACTCAAAAGTAATGGTGCTCAAGTCAATTTGCTTCTTTTTTCGACACATTTTGAAAATATTTATTCAGAATTTCTCAATAGAGAGCTTTTATAACTTAATTTTATTTGATGTTGTGGATACCCACGGTGACCATTCGTTACGATTGAATGCAAAATGTAAAATCGTTAAGCAAAATGTAAAATCAGCGCTAACAGCTATTAATGATATTGATTCGGGTTTTGATAAGTATTTTTGTATCATTTTTTTGTAGATTTTATTTTTGTATCATTTTGAAGAAATGTCAACGTAGAAAAATGTTTTTGGTTGATTATAAAATAGAAATGTCTACTTCCTTATAAAATATTTTCGTACATTCGATATATTTGTTTCCCGTTTACCACGCAAACTAAGGCGTAGGGAAACTCGTATCTACGGACACCTCATGTTTTATTTTTTTCTCTCTTCTTTTGGATGCGAAATTTATGTTCATCTTTTTGAAATGCTACAAACCTGAGTATATTTATGAGTAATTATATTTAGAACTGAAGTTTTCAGATTCATCTTTTTCTATAACTAAAATATTGCTGAACGACATACGATATATAACAGTCATAACTGGACTAATAATTGTTTCTGGTCATCGTGAAAACAATCGACTTCAATTGAATACTACGCTTAACGTACCTTGGGACGTCCTTAGATCGACAGTCAATATCCCTAGATACAACAATCTACAATAATGAATGAACATGGATACTTTTAATTGTAGGTTACCTGTAGGAAAGAAGTATACACCTTGAAATAACTACATTTTATGCTAGTAAGTGTAAGTCTAATTCAATTGTCGTAAAGTAATAGTAGTTATTACAAAATTGATGAAAAAGGTAGAAATTTTCACTTTTCACTCAAGTTTATAAATTCTCCAAAAATCACTAAAACAGCTCACAATACAAAATCGTTCACTTGAATAAACACAAATGGCAATGTGAGTGTAAGGAAAATAACAATCCGAAATTTCTCTAGCACACTCCTCGAAAACATGCTTTCCCAATAGGTACGACAGTTTCCCCTACTCAACGCACATTCCTAAGTTACTATTGCTCACGTGCCTGCTCAAGAATAACAGCCTATATCTGATGTACTTTGGTTATGCGTTGGACATCTTCAAGAACGCAAGAATACAGGTCAGTCTCGTCGTGAAATTCGTCACCAGCGAAGCGTCTGCGACTTACCAGTAATTTATATAATGAAAGTATGATTTATAAATATTTCGCCTTGTCACTCGTTGGTATTACTTGTACATGCGTACAAAAATCCACTAGACCTGTTAAGCTGACTAAATCAATCCACACTTCATTTTTAAAATCCATGGTATTGTGGCATACGGAGAAAACTGACGTCGATTCCCGATAAGTAAACTATATCGTAATCTCGAGGCAACACAAAATAACAATAATCCTAAAGAAAGACTTTTGAGTAATGCATGTATGTTTTAAGAATGTATTAATGTGTAATATGTGTGTTTGTAAAATAATCCTTTCAAATACCGGTGATTACCAGTACTAATCAATACCTTCTGTTTGTTTGGTTTCAAAAGATTTCATGTCATTGGAGCTTAAAGACGGCTACCCACGACTACTTATGGATTATGGTAGTGGAACCACATTTTTGGAACATAAACAAAGTAGACTTTCTGATGGAAAGTTGCACCATATTGACATATTTTGGACAAACACCGTAAGTATCAAGATATATTTTCAATGTTATTAATGCCAGCTTGTCAATTCTCTTTCTGTTTTCCGTTTTGATCAAAACATTCATGATTTTCTAACTTTGTATGGCTACATATGCTGTACTTCATAACATATTTGAAACGCTGCATTGCATGTTCGTAATACTCACTTGGAAAAAAGTGTAAATACTAATGTACACTGCCAAAGATATGCTCGGAGACTGATAGCTAAAGATGGCATTTTTGCGGTTGTGTTCTAAGTTCACAATTGTGTAGTAGCTGCTGCCTTTACTTTATCCTTAACACTTCTAATCAATTTCCCGTTTCATTCAAATCAATATTTTTTTCTGTTTTTCGTTCTTTACCCTCCTGGTGCGGCAAATCTCGGGTCACCTCAAAGCTAAAATAGGGAAGTATATGTTCATGTGACGTCGTGATATGAATAAGAACACACATGGAGTTTCTATGTACAGATTTATTTACAATCACTATACCATATTTTCCCTCCTAAGGAACACATTTTCCGCTACACTTTGCAGAAATTCAACACTTGAGGGTAGCCGCTCCAGTCTCAGAAAACCCCAGCGTGCCAATACAAACGAGCGCCGCCCCAGGCCTCTTGTCCCGTGGCGAAAACCACTCATCGCAAGACGTGGCTTGCGTTTACCCCCTCACAAATGACAAAATGCCTCTCCCGATATTGGTATCAAACGAATGCCCCATCAGTATTCTTTGCTAGCCTAAATCGCGTGGAATCACGTGTGTGTCCCCCGCGTGTAGATTCGCGGACTGCGTTATCTCATTACGGAGTTTTGGGGCAGAGTGCAAAACAGGGCCTGCTGGCCTGTTGCATTCCAAGGCTATCATCACACATCATCCTCCCTGCGCTAGCTGCCACCCGCTTTCCAAGTACACGCCCCTAACCCACACCCACTCAGAGGGCGACGGAGCTCTGGTTCCCGCCAGCCTGGCGCCAGTTCACAAAGCTTCCCCCTTGCCGGCCCCACGCCTTGTGTGATTACCAGAGAGCAAATTACTATGACATTACACACAGTACCTATTGTAATACCTTATACCTCTAATACTTTGTCTCAAACAAATTAAAAAAGAAGTGTATTTTTTCTATAGAAAAAAATAGAAAGCCTTTAATGGGGGAAGTGACTACAGTTTCCGGCTACTGAAAGGAGTAAAAATAAAATTGGAGTACCTAATATGTGGACAGATTGTAGGTGGGTCGTTTCACGTCCTGAGTGAGTGATGGGGAGAAGGCTGTCATGTATTCCTTTCTCCATCTTCCATCTTCTTGCTTTTCATTTCATATCACCGAAATTATTTTATCACCCCTTTTTAGTGTCACTGGTCTTTGAATGACAAATACTCACCCATGTGTTTCCCGTGCATATCATGCATGTGGAAGGGAATGGGTTACAGGGTTCTTAACAATGGGAACAAATTTGTAAGCAAGCAACATTTGTATTTATAATTACAACGCATGTCGTAGAAATCACCTTTATTAGGATTCAGTATCAAAAGCTAATTATAAGAAATTCACATATAATACATTCATGTCACTTTAAACATTTTACCATAAACAGTTAATATTGGTACGCAAATTGAAGTTAGAATTAAAATTTTTCTGCTGATTAACTGTTTCTATTGAATTTTTCTGCTGCTTAACTGACCGCCGAAAAGAAAACTAATATTTCTTTTAACATTCCGTAACTCGCGCGGTCATTCGTAACACCAGTACTCGCATTTTCGTCTCCGTCCAACTCACTCATTATGAAGTTTTAGTTTTTTTAAGATCATTAATACACTTCTTATATTTATGTATATATATATATATATATATATATATATATGTGTATATATATGTGTATATATATGTGTATATATATG